TGTTGTTCAGGAAATTCCACTAAGAATTTACCTTAGTAGGACCTATCTAGGCCCAACGATGGCAGGCCTATTTTAGAGCATGCCTGTCTAGGCCCTTTACGAACTTCGGGCACGCCCTGACAAAATGCTACCTGGGAAGTAACGAGTTACTTCCCAACCCTGGTCTAGCGTCACATCCAATACGTGCAGCGATTTCGCAGCGAAGCTACCTGGCACGCAAAGGGTTAAGCGTTCCGCGAGTGGAGCGACAATACTTCGCAATTAGCGGAGAGACGACGCATTAGAGAGATAATGAGTAAACAAGCCGCGGAAAATATTACAATCTGCAGCGTCGGTTTTTTTTCTCTCGTCCCAATGAGACGCGAGATAAACGAGCAAAAAGATATCGCGGCAGAAGATTAAAGTACCACTTGGTCGGCCATCGGCGCCATCGGTCAAAATGTGTCGATTCATCGAACGATACCCGCGCGATACAGCGCGGGTCACGTTAGCACAATTCCCGAGAGACTTCCATAAGCGCGTAATTTTCCTCTTCGAACGCCCCGGCGGAAGCGCGTGACGGCCGCGAGAAAACGGGCACGAACGATCCGGTTGGTTGCCGCGAGTCAATTTTTGCACCGAGCACCCATCCGGGCGATATGTGTTGTGCATCAATCGAGGCGCCAGACTTGTTTTTCTTCCGAGCGATATCCTCGATATCGCTGAAAAAAAAGACGCGCGGAACGATACCCTTTTACAGTTTAGAGCTTAGCGGCGCATTTCTCCCGTGCCGGGAGAAATCGCGCGACTTCCCCGTCCCGCGAGGGTTCCCGTACGCACTGAAACAAAATTTTCGCCACCGTAACTAGCTACGGTTTGCTAAAAATATTTTCATTAATCCGACACAACTGGCAACAGGAAACTTCCTTTATTTAAACAACGTTTCGGCCATGGGTCTTGGTCCTTTTCAAATGCAATCAACGGACGACGCATATGGCATGTGGTCAAATGCCATTAAGCCTGTATCAGACTACGGATTGAGATCGAGATTAGATTGAAAATTGACCAATTAGAGTAAAAGTTACTAAACTTGAGATTAGTAAAACTGCAGTGATTGGTCAAATTTCAATCTAATCCCAATCTCAATCCGTAGTCTGATACGGGCTTTAGGCCCAGTAGAAATATCGCTACGGAGACATTACATCCCATACAGCACACGTGTCTAACAGACATCTTTAGGACATTTTTAAGTCGTCTTTTAGTCGTACGTATCTAAAAGACGACTTAGACGACGTGCTGTATAGAATGCAATGTCTCCGTAGCGATATTTCTACTGGGCCTTGATGGCATTTAACCGCATGCCATGCGCCTACTAGAATCTGTCGATTGCACTTGAAAAGGGCCAAAACCCATTGCCGAAACGTTGTGTAAATAAAGGAAGTTTTCTGTTGCCAGTTATGTTGAACCTTTAATTCTATTATATGGTAAGAGCTAAGGCAGTAAAAGAGGTCGAACTGCAAGTACAAAATTGACTCCTACTTTAAAACTGATAGTGTCGGAAATTTCTACTTTTGCCAATTTAGCATTAAAGTAGGTCCTTTTAACTAGGAACTAAAGTACATTTTTAGAATTAAAGATTCGAGGGAGGAGTAAAAATATGTCATCAAAGTAGATTATTGCTGGTCTATGTAGGTGTAAATTATCCTTAAAAGTGTCAAAATAGTACAAAAATTTCGACTCGGGAAGTTTGATATACTTCACTACATTTTCTAACCGACGACTGGTTGAATCTACCAGATTTCCAATTAATGCAACCAGATTAATTTTGCGGTTTGACTAAGTTTTTATCTTCTTCCAATTCCAGAAACTAGAAAAGGCTAAAAAGTATCTTAAACCGAGATCAAAGTTAATCTGCACGTGTCGCGTCCGCGATCGGATGTTCTTATGCAAATCGTCCCCGACGTGTTACGTAGCGCGTGTCGCATTATAAATTATAATAGCGCATATTCATTAGCAGCGGAGTGCATTCCGCGACTAACTAATCTCTCGCCTTCCTCCCGCTTTCGTCAGTCCTGCGTTTTATCGCCAAAGAAAAGCCAACATCTTATATCGGAAGGATGAACTTTGTGCTCTCTTCTAATAGCTACGAGGAATATTGTTTCGAAATAAAAGATGCTCAGGCTAATACCGCAATGAAAAGAGGCAATTTAACGAGTAAAGTGTGATAAGCATTGGCGCCTTCTCTTTTTTACGCGGACGGATCATTCAATAATTTATCGCTACGTAACGAAGCGTATAACGTAATCGGATTTGCCGTTGCATCAAATTACATTAGCGACGCACCGTTCTACATTCTCGTAATATCGCTAATTCGTTTTACGTACGAGAAATCTCCGTGAATGATGTAACAATATAAAGCGGCTCGTAAAGCGTAGACGACTAACAAGAAATCGTAAAGAGCTGCGTCTCTGTAAAAATTCACATTGGAAAAAAGAGGAAAGCGTAGAGACGACTGAAGCCTAATTCAAAAGGTGCTCTTTGCGCCCAGAAACATTCTATGTTGTAGCCGATACATAAAGATTAAAAAATTTGTGCTATTCATAAATTACTTGTACATTGTGTCGACAAACTTTTTCTAAGCGTTCGATTGGCTCATGTAAAATAGAATGTTTCTAGACGCAAAGAGCACATTGTAGATTAGGTCGTCTAAGGCAAGATAGACGCCGAGAGATACGTGCGCGAAGGCACGATCTTGAGGATTAAACTGTTTACCGAGCAGCTCTTATAAATCGCGCGTCGCGATACGGCTGCAACACGTGCAATAGAGTCACTTGCGAGTCTCTTGACGATACTCATTGAACGATTACACGCCGATGAGCATCCGTGCATTGCGCGAGGTTTTTCACAACTGACGAAAACGAGATCCGCAAATATCGGCGTTAGGCTCAAGACTTTCTCGACGAAGACGAACCTAATCGTCGTGTAAACAATTTGTAATATGAGGGGATGAAAGGGGGATGTTTCCTCCGTGTATCATCTCTGGAAACATTCCTGCAAGAAGAGACAGAAAAGACAACTCGCATATTAACAATTAAAGAAAATCATTGTTCTTCTTTTTTTACAAGTCTCTCGTTCTCTTACAATTAGAACACAGTGGTAATATGTACGCACTTGAATATTATTCCGACTATGCTGCAGACCTGCCTTACATGAAAATATCGTAATCGGCTCTTCAGAGCAGATGCAACAGCGCGGAGAAGTCATTGGCTGCTAGTCCGTGTCTAGCGCAGACACGGACAATCGTTAGCACTTGGCTTAAAGTGAATGTTCTATAAAAACACAGAGAAAAAAATGATCACCATCACCGAGAATAAGTGTTAAGACTATAGCAATTGTGGTTGTAAATGGTGTTCGTTTTCCGCTATCTACACACAGTCGTGTTACTCTTACGTGTATATATTTGCATAGTTACTTCTCTTTATAACTATGACGAAATAATTTTGAAGGTGTCGAACCAGGACATTAAAGATGATATTTTTTTAATGAGATCAAAAAGATGTCTTTCGATATCGTCCGTTCGAACTCCTTAAAAAAAAAAAAGTTATCCTTTGAACGGTGTTACGGTATCCCAAGTCAAATTGATTCAACTATATTCAATATGTTTATTCATAAATAGTTCAATCGCTGTCATAATAATTTGCAGCTATGTGTCGCCTGGTATCGAGAACGCATACGACGAGTTTTCCTCCTAACTGCGACCCGCAGCATCTCCCGATACCCTTCCTTCCCGAAAACAGATCAACGTTAATAAAATAGCTATTATTTCATCTTTGTAAAAAAAAGACTATACAGCGTTTGAAAGCTATTGAATTATAGGAACCCCATTGATTTACGTTTACGAGCTATAAAGTAGATAATCGAATTATTTACATAATATTTATACTAAAGTTTATAAGTTTATATACACACATCGCAAGTAAAGTCCGAAATGCAAAGGATCTGCATCTGTAATTGTATCGATGAATAAACTACTTGGAAAAACTACTTGAAGAGTAATACGGTACAACGCGCACAAATGTATTCCTCTCGGCTGGATTTGCGCTTGCCGAAATGGCCACAAAATTATATGTAATGCAAAAGAATATTATAATTGCTAGTGTATCACTTCGTATTTAAAAAAAAACATTTATGTTTGTACATATAAATATATATTTCATCACATTGCAGACTTTACCTATAATGTACATATCAAGTAGATAAATTTAATTTATACAAGCTAATATATTCGTGAGACGGTGAGTAAATTACATTCTTCCTTCGATGATTCTGTATACTTTCAAGAACAATATCTGCTTTCGCCCCCTTTACCGCTTTTCAAATTCAAACGTGTACTAATATAAATTAACTTTTTGTACGTATACGAGTGTATACGAATTAATTTCCTTTAATACTGACTAATCCTAGGAACACGCTCTAGTCGCGACACATCGAATTTGATGTAAGAGACGCACTGTCAGTATCAATATATATATATACACATCATGATTAATATACATCCCTTTCCATCACTCGAAGAGTAAAATGATCTCGAATAGTATCGTGTTTAAATGCTTGAAATAAGCTATTACAACGGTCATTTCTCTTGTAGTAAGAGTGGATATTATTTTGGAATAAAATATTCTGCATATCTCGATCACATACGTGTACACACATACACACATACGTACGCACCGTTACTTTCTCAAATTCTATTTTAGTCTGTTAAAAATGGAAGAACTGATGCTATAGACTTCAAGTTCAGAGCAGTTTCGAGTTTTATGTCCGCGACAATGCGCCGCATGCCCTCGGCCTCTGACAGCAGCAGAGGCTGCGCAATCGCGCCGCGGGGCCCGGCTCTTCCGATCACCGTTCCTCAACGCCGTCGCTACCGCCGCTGTCCTGTTGAGGCCTTGCAATTTGGTACGTGATAAGATACTCTGGATATGCCTGTTCGCCTCTGTAGACAACGTACTCGGGAAACACCAAACCACCCTGCGATGGCCTGCCCATAACGCTATGATGGCCGGGAGGGGCGTGTGCCATTTTCATTGCCGAAAATTGTAGAAACGACTTGCCGAGCGTGACTCTACAGAGCAGCAAATGTCTGAAAAATTATAAACAGAAACATTTCAATAACAGAATACGAATATGGTACTTTTTAAAAATAAAAGAAATAGAAAGACAGAGAAGTGTGCGTCAACAAATTTTATGTATATCAGTGGTGAAAGCTGTTGCTACCAACAGACTTGTTATCTTTTAGAAACCTGTCGTGAAAGTTTCTGCCTATCATGGCCACTTAATTCTCTGAATTTTCTTCCGCCTACCTGTGGCAGATGTAACAGCTTCTGTCTTTATGTGCGGGACATCCGGTACCACCGCATATACCATAGACATACTGATTGCTCTTGCTGCTGTGTTCCGCAAAGTATATGCCGGCGCCGAACATCCCACCGATATACGCGTGCCGCTCATCGAAGCCTTTCTGAACGATAGCGTTGATAAACGGACTGCCATGGAATAACATTCTCTCGTTCGCCTGTGATACCGTTGAACTGGGAGTGCCCCTAGGTCCAGTGCTAGGAGACGCGGGAGCGGCAGCACCGACTTCTTCAGCCACCTCTTGTCTCCTGTGGGCATAACGCTCCCACAACTTGCGATTCTGAACCTTTTGTATCTGCAGAAGACATTTCTAATTACACAAAAACCTGCCAATGAAAGCAGCGTCGGTCGTTGCACTACGTTCGACAAATTTAATACGTACTCTGACTATGTTATATCGAGAGAAGATGCCACCGGAATGGCCATTATCCCTATGTTGCCTAATGGTACTTTGCATCTCTTCCTCAACAGCCAAGAATTCTTTGTCTTCCGCTAACAAGTCCACTAACAATGTCCCGGGATTTATGGAAGGCTGCCAGAGGGAACCCGCTGCTGTGTTCAGCAGCTTATCCATACCTTTAATTAATTTATGCCTATAACCGTAAGCCGACACTCCAACCTGCTTCAGATCCTCGTGACCCATTTCCGCGAGTATATCCAAGGTGATTTGCTCGCGTTCGAACAGCTCGAGTAAATGCTCCAGGCCGAGACTCTGCAGGAAGCCGGCGACAGTCGTGATGGTGCCGTTGTGTTCTTTGCACATATCTTTGGATTCTTTCTCGGAGCACGGTTCGCTCGGCGGCATCGGACTCAGGCACGACGTCGGGCGTGCCAATGGCACGCACAGAGTCATGGCTGCGCCAGATGGCATAATGACGGTCTCTTGAGTGAGGGGCGGTGGCGGCGTAACGGGAACTAGGAGAAAGAATGAAAAATATATAATAGAAATAAATATATCATCTCTGTGTGTGTGTGTGTATCTGCGGTTCTACTTACCAGACACGATACTAGGTGGTCTACTGTTAATGGAATTGCCACCAGCACTGTTCACCATATTGCCCGACGGCACCGATGGAACGATTTGCTGAGAAGCCATGGCGTCTTGTAACAAACATCTCACATCGTCCGCGCTGGCCAGATCCACCGGAGTCTGCCCTTCCTGATTTTTCAGGAAGGGATCGGCGCCGTGAGCAAGCAAAAGGGCACACAGCTGCGTCCGACCCTTCTGCGCAGCTTCGTGCAGCGGCGTGAATCCCCATTTATCAGTCGCATTCACCACTGTATTGTATTTAATGAGCAAGGCTGCGATGTCCAGGTGACCGTAACTCGACGCGTTGTGCAGGGGAATAAGGCCGCCTTTATCTTGCGCATTTACATCGGCGCCACGTTCAAGCAAGAATTCAGCCACTTCCAAGTTATTGTATCCCGCTGCGTTGAAAAAAGAAGCGCAGTTTATGTATAAATATTACCGCTTTTATATAAATGTACGAAATCTTTTTGATTCCAAAAGCTTAAGTGAATTAAAATCGTGTTGTACAACACATTTTACAAATCGATTGAAAAGCGAAACGAAAATAATAAGAAAAATGTGAAAAAGCTAATTGAACATATCTTTGAAAACAGAAAGTATTATCGACGCCTGTGTATTCAGAAGTGATATATGTACCAGCTAAATGCAATGGAGTGCTATTGCGTCCTTGAGCGTCCCGGCAGTTGATGTTGTCTTGCGTAACCAGTCTCTGAACTCTGGCTAAATTGCCCTTCTTCGCCGCATCCAGAAGAGCGCTATTTCCACGTAAGAGATCCGCCACGTCCTGATCGCCGTCTCTGACCAGGTCTAATGGCGTCGCGCCGTCTCTGTTCTTCTTGGTGGCGTCCGCTCCGTGTCTCAGCAGTAATCGTACTATTTCGTACTTGCCCTTGGCGGCGGCTTCGTGAAGCGGCGTAAATTTCCACAAATCGGCAACGTTCACCGACGCCCCGTGTTTTACTAACAATTCCGTGACTTCGTAGTGGCCGTAAGAGCAAGCGTTGTGGAGAGGCACCAATCCACTGTATCCAAGTAACGTGCAATGTTATTAAAAGTATCTCAAGTTATATATAAGGTAAATACTGAATTATACAACGCTTAAAGAGAAACTAATAATGTTGTACGTTAAATATGAAACAATCAATGGACTGATTTTCTTAATTACCCTTTGTCTTTGGCATGCACATCTGCGCCGTGCGCTAATAGATACTCTACAACCGGCACTCTATTGAAACCCGCTGCAAAATGCAGCGGAGTCGAATGCCTGCCGTCTAAGTCACGGCAGTTCACAGCGTGTGGATTGGCCTGCAGGATTCTTTCTACCGCGGCAAGATCGCCCGACTTGCTCGCCTCCAAGAGTTGCGCTTCCACATCGTCCGTTCCATTCGGTGGATCTACGCAGTTAAGCACGAAGCTGAGACCGTTGCCCCGAAATAAATGGCGCAACCGGACCGAACGACTCACCCTGCAGTATCTTCAGTACGTTCTCGGCGGAAATTTGTGCCGCGGTGTAGCCTTGCAGGGACACTATCGAAGGATCGATATTGTACGACAAAAGTATTCTGCAAGCTTGTACGTTATCCTCTCTAGCGCACCTAGTAAGGAAATAATTAATTGACGTATTATGAACTAACAACGTTAAAATTGACTCACTCATTTCTTACGGCAAATAGGAAACAAGTGGTTTTTCAGAACAAAGGTACCTATGCAGAGCGGTCTGTCCTAAGCCGTCCAGCGCGTTGACCTTTGCATTATGCCGCAGCAATATGTCCATCGCGTCGTAATGCGAATGATCGGTCGCTACGTGAAGCGGTGTAAGAAAGTCTTTATTTTTCTCGTTCATGGCAGCGTTCTTTCGAATCAAGGCCTCGATGACTTGCTTTCGCTTCGGGTACGGTGACGCCACTGCGCAATGCATCGGTGTGTCGCCGGTGTAAGGATGCTTGAAATTAACAATCTCTTGGGACAGATACTTTTTAAGCTTATTAAGATCTGCCTGCCTGCAGGCGTCCAGTAGACAGTGGCCCTTGTATTCGTCTGTAAATCGTGCGTTGATTGTAAAATGTGCGCGATCAAGATATTTGTGCGAATCGGACACGAATAGAAAGTAAATCCCGAGGGGGAAACCGCTGACCAAAATCTTGTACACTAATGCCCAGGAAATGCCGCAAATCTGTGCAACCACAATGCCCTCAGCGGGTTCCCCCTCGGTAAATCCACTCTGCACTCACACGCTAGTCTTTCTTGCAATTCGAGGGTAGGTGCCACGTCGATGGCGCTCTTACTATGGCAGTTTAATTGCGTCGGGTCGGCGCCTTCGCTCAGCAGCAAGGAGCAGACCTCTGCTCTGGACTTGCTCGCGGCTTCGTGCAACGGAGTGAACGTCCAGAGGTCACTGGCGTTAACGGCGGCGCCGTGCTTCAGAAGCGCCTCGGTTACTTCAAAGTGGCCGTACGAACAAGCGTTATGAAGCGGCACGAGGCCTCTGCAAGTCAATCAGGACTTCAATGGGTCGCGATCGGATTTAGATCTAGCGAAGGCCGAGAGTGAGCGAGCGCAATGAAGATGAAACAGCTTTCCTTACGCATTAAGAATCCGCAAGTGGAACGTTCGCGTGTACTAACCCTTTGTCCTTGGCATGCACATCCGCGCCATTCTGAAGAAGAATCTGCACAACCCTAGATCTATTATATCCAGCTGCCAAATGCAACGGCGTAGATCTCCTTCCGTCACTGGCGTGACAATTGACATTAAGAGGGTTCAGCAGCTGCAGCAGTCGCTCCTCGTTTCCGGATCTAGCCGCCTCTAGGAGATCATCTTTCCTATACTCTCCAGTTAGTACCGGCTTTGTAGAGACATCCGCTACTTCAAGCGCGGTCTTTCCTTCTGTATTCCTAATGTTTACATCTGCCCCGTGCTGTAGCAGAGTAATACATACGTCTATTTTACCCTGTCAAGTACAAATGAAGATGAAAAAGTTAGGCACCATTTCCATCTTCGGCTTTCAGCACTGGCGACAAAGTAAAATTGACTGGGCAAAAGTAAGCACCTTGATCGCCGCCTCGTGCAGAGGCGTGAAATTCCAATTATCTCTCGTGTTCGGGCTCGCCCCCGCCTCCAGGAGCAATCTCACAACGTCGCAATGTCCAAAGGAGCACGCGTTGTGCAACGGATGTAGACCGCCGTCGTCGCGCGCTTGGATCGACGCACCGGCGGACAGGAGAAATTCTACAACGTCCTTCCTACCGTATCCTGCGGGGACATTTTTCAAGTGTTATACACGTGGTGTATTTAATATCCTTGTAACCTCTGAAAATTAAATTGCATTGAGCGATTAATACATTCACGAGGCTCTCATGTGAAATCACAGTCGCCGAGACTTTAACTAAAATTTTCATCAATTAACGTCCTGTCTTTTATTCCTCCGCTCCTTCGACTGTGACTTAGTAAAATTGTTTTCGACCCTCAACGTCCTGCCTTCGCTTATTCTTTTGTTCCTTCGAAAACAATGTTATACACGTTTTACACAAGTACGTAGAAAAAATTGCAAGATCCACGCGTACGTGAGTCACGCAAGGACGATGAAACCTGATTCGTACGCGGTCAAGACTCGCCTACGAGTTATCGCGAGTTCCTGCGCGTTCAGGCTCTCACGTTTCTTGCCACTTGAACACATCGAGCCAAAACGTACACAGCATCCACGCGATCGCTCACGTCAAGAGGATTCGGTCTATTTACCTTATGTACTCCGGCACCAACTATTTCGCGACAGTTACGCGTTCACGCCAGCTCGAGAAAAAAACAAATAAAAAATGGTGGTGGCCCCCAAGCGGAGTTGTCGACGTCGGAGTTAACAATCTCGTTCGACAACCGCTGTCCTCGTTTCAAGAGCCCACGCGCGATCGAGACTGCCACGTACGCCCGCGAGGACGAGGCTCCGATCAGCTGAAACGCGACTCGCTGGCTCATTAACCTCCAGCGTCCACGTGTTTACGCGGATCCCGGGACGGCGGTCTCCAGGAAGCGACGACTCGGACGGGGAGGGAGAGCGGGGCTTGGGTGCCCCGGCGACTCACCAGCTGCAAAATGCAGGGGGGTGGACTTGCGTCCGGCAGTGTCGCGGGCGTTGACCGTCTTCGGGTTGACCAACGCCTTCACCTTGGCGAGATCGCCGGTCTTGCAGGCCTCGAAGAGCTCGCGCAGCGGATCGCCGCCACCTCCGCCGCCGCCACCGCCGCCGCCGCCGCCGCCGCCGCCGCAGCCGCCGCCGCCGCCGCCGCCCGATCCCGGCAGCGAGTCCGCCGCATTCGACAGCGTCGATCTGCGTCCTGCCATCGCTTCACACCGCCATTTTCACGCTGTCGCGCCGTCCGACGACGGGCCCCGCGACGCAGTTGCGACGGACGGCCAGGCACATCTCCACCAGTGGAACGTCCGGCTGGGAACGCACGCCACGACGGAGACGGACGAGAGGATAGACGGACGGACGGACGAACGGACGGACGGACGGGCGGGCGGGCGGACGAACGGACGGGTTGCTAGGGAAGCGATTGGCCCGCAGCAGCGACGTTCCACGTTTCCGCGACGTAACCGTCGACGAGGTGCTATCGGAGATTCGTGACCGTAAGCAAATCCGGTCGCGGTTGTCAGGTGGAGGCGCGGAGCGTAGGCGGTAACCGCAGAGCGGCGACATTGCCGACGGTTACCGACGGTTACCGACGATACCGACGGAGAGAGGGGGCGCTGGCGTCGCTACTGAATTTCGCTACGGTGCGTTACGTTGGCGGCCCTGCGCGATCTGATTGTTCGTTCCAGAAGTTTCAAATTTTCGCGACGCGACGAGCCCGCCAGTTGATTCGCGCGCGTTGTTCGTTTTTCTGGGGGGACTCTCGCGCGGGGTAGAAGCTCCGCTCGAGAGTTTATCGCGCGATTACGTTGCTGCGGGACGAGGAAGGTAATCGCGAGCGACGAGACGCGGCGAGGAACGGCGATGGAGTCCGACGACGAGGACATGTTCGCTATCAGCGACGATGAGACGGCGATGCCGGCGCCGGCGGCGCCGGTGAATCCCGTCGAGGAGCACCTGCTGCAGGTCCTCGCCGATGTCCAGAACAGAATTGACGTCACGGCGAGCGAGGTCGCCCTGAGGCGGGCGAACACCGCGTGCGTTTTGAACGCCCTGGAGCGGCGCGCGGTCTACGCGGAGGACGCGAGCTCGGACTCGGACCGCGAGGTAGCCGCCCGATTCCGTTTGCATCTGCGGACGTAAAGCCGTGTGTCCGCGACGCTATACAACTTGGACACGGTTCTTTTGGATCGTGGACAGAAGGCTTCGAGTCTTGTGTCCACGATTCAAGAACTGTGTCCAGGTTCTAGTTCCAAGAAATGTGCAACCAATCAATCTGTATCTTATGGAGAAGCTGCAAGTTGATTGCCTACGCATTTCTTGGAACTTGAACTTGGACACAGTTCTTGGATCGTGGACAGAAGGCTTTAAAGGCCTGTGTCCACGATGCTAGAACTTGGTCCAAGTTCTAGTTTCGAGAAATGTGTAGCCAATCAAGTTGCAGCTGTTCCATAAAAGCTGCAAGTCCATTGGCTACA